TTAAGCCCTCTAGCTCTCAGAGAGCTCTCCGGGAACTAGCTCCACCCCGCGCCGGAATTCCTCTATCTCATCGCTGCCGAAAAGCTCTACGAGGTGTTTTTTCCTGGAGAGCCTTGGGCGGCCCCCCCGGAGCGCTGCGGAAGCGTTGCCAGAATCGTCTCCATGCGTGCCTGCGCGCATGCAGGCTCGCGTGGAAGCTTGCCGGAAGCTCCCCCGTACACGTGGCCGGGCCGCCGGAGTCGCTGCGAGGCCTGTGGACCGCCGTGGAGGAGCTCCTGGCAGGCACCACCACCGTCCAGCTCCTAATCTTAAACCATTTAGCTCTCAGCGAGCTCCCCGGGAATGACTTGCTAAGGGATGCTTTACGAGTTACTAGCTCCACCCCGCGCCCGAATTCCTCTAGCTCATCGATGCCGATGAGCTCTACGAGGTACTAGCTCTCCAGCGCGCCGGAATTACTCTTAAGCTTCCAGCAACTAGCTAAGGAAAGCTCTACGAGTTACTGGCTCCGCCCCGCGCCGGAATCCCACCAGCCCTCTGGGCGTAGGTGGTCTAGAGCAGATCCTCTTCCACCCCTCCCTCTTCCCCCTTGGGGAGGGGTTTACCCCTCCCCCTACCCCCTCCCCTGGACCTGGACGGGGGGGGCCGCGGGTAGTTAGAGCGTCCAAGATGGCCCAAGACGGCTCCAAGAGCGCCTCAGAGAACCCAAGATGAGCTCCAAGATGGCTCAAGATAGCGCAAGATCGCTCACGATGGCTCCTAAGATGGTTCCAAGAAGCCCAAAGACGGCCCCAAGATAACTCCAAGTGGCCAAACAGCTCCCCAAGGAGGCCCCGAAGAGGCCAAAATCGTCCCAAAACCTAAGGAAAATCAATGATTTTTGCTTTCTCGCCTTTTCGCTTCCGATGGCCATCCGAGGCCTGGAGATGGCTCCAAGATGGCCCAAGAGGGCCCCAAGAGAGCCCCAAAAGAGCCCCAAGACGGCCCCAAGAGCGCCCAAGAGCACTCCAAGAGCGTTCCAAGAGGGGTCCAAGAGGCGATTTTAGGGGCTTCCGAGGGGGGGCGCTAATTCACCCCCCCCTCTTGTTTGATCGATCTCCTCCAAGATGGCCCCAAGAAGCGCCCAGGAAGCCCCAAGAGGTCCCAAGATGGCCCCAAAATGGCCCCAAGAGGCCCCCAAGAGGCCCCCCGGAGGCCCCCAAGAGACCCCCAAGAGGCCCCAAGAGCCCCCCCAGATGCACCCAAGATGCTCCAAGAGGCCTCGGCGAGAATGCCTAATCATTGATTCTACACAGGTTTTAGCCACATGGAGGCCTCTTGGGGGGGGGCACGGATTAAGATGACTCCAAGAGCGTCTGGGAGAGCCCAAAATGACCTCCAAGATGGCTCAAGATATCCCAAGATGTCTCATAATGGCTTCCTCTGTGTGCTGCCCACTTCTCTGATCGAGGCAATTCCTCTGGGCATCGTTTCTGGATGGGCTGGTGGGGATTCGCGAAGCGACAACAATTCCTCTAGCTCATCGATGCCGAAGAGCTCTACGAGGTGTGAACGCTCTCGTCAAGCGCTTCGTGGGCTCTGGGGGCTCCCCTGCAGCGCTTCTGAAGCGCTGCCAGGAAAGCTTCCACGCGTGCATGCACGCTTGCAGGCACGTGTGGACGCGTGCCCGAAGCGCCCCCGGACCCGCTGCGACGTTTCACAGGTCGCTGCGGGGATTCTGCACCGACGAAGATGGGCTGCTGGCAGACCCCACCGCCGTCCGGCTTCCAATCTGAAATCCTCTAGCCCCCAGAGAGTTCCCCGGGAAAAAGCCAGAGAGCAAAGAAAACACACACTCGAAAGCTTTCCTGGCGAGCCGTCGGACGCTCTCGTCAAGCGCTTCTGGAGCTTTGGAAGGCTCTCCACTGCCAGGAACGCCCCCATGCGTGCCTGCAAGCGCAGGCACGCGTAGACGCTTGCCGGAGGCTCTCCCGGACCCGCTGCCGGGTCCGGCGCGGCGAGGATCCTGGACCGGCGGAGATGGGCTGCTGGCGGGCACCACCACCGTAAACCGACCCCACCACATTGTCTCTTCAGGTCGGGTCGGCGAACTGGCTCCACCCTGCGCCCGAATTCTTCTTAGCTCTTTTTGCCGAAGAGCTAGCTCTACGAAGTAAATCTGGAGAGCGAAGAGACCTCCGGATTGGGCAAGTGGTAGCGTCCAAAACCCGGAGAGCAAAGGGCAAACGCACCACAGAAATCTGCCCTGGCGGACTGTCGGACGCTCTCGTGAAGCGCTACTGGAGCTCCGGGGGATTCCCCCGTAGCGCTTCTGAAGCGCTGCCAGGAAGACTTCCACGCGTGCCTGCACGCGTGCAGGCGCGCGTCGAAGCTTGCCGGAAGCTCTCCCGGACCCGCTGCGAGGTTTTACAGGTCGCTGCGGGGATTCTGGACCGGCGAAGGTGTGCTGCTGGCGGGCACCACCACCGTCCGGCTTCTAATCTTAAGCCCTCTAGCTCTCAGAGAGCTCTCCGGGAATCTTCCCTGGAGAGCTCTGGGGCGCTCCCCCGGCGCGCTTCGAAAGCACTGCCAGGAACGCTTCCACGCGTGCCTGCACGCGTGCAGGCACGCGTGGACGCCTGCCGGAAGCGCTCCCGGATCCGCTTCCGGGACGGTCGAGACGCTGCGGGGATCGTGGGGCGGCGGAGATGGGCTGCTGGCGGGCACCACCACCGTCTGGCTTCTAATCTGTAGCCCTCTGGCTCTCAGAGAGCTCCCCTGGAGAGCTCTGGGCGGCTGCCCTGCAGCCCTTCTGAAGCGCTGCCGGGAACGCTTCCACACGTGCCTGCATGCGTGCAGGCACACGTGGAAAGCGCCCCCGAACCCGCTGCCGGGTCGGGGATTCTGGAGCGGCGAAGATGGGCTGCTGGCGGGCACCACCATGGTCCGGCTTCTAATCTTAAGCCCTCCAGCTCTCAGAGAGCTCTCCGGGAATTATCTTGGTGGCGTCCAAAACCTGGAGAGCAAGGAGAAAACGAACCGGAAAGCTTTCGTGGCGAGCCCTCGGACGCTCTCGTCAAGCGCTTCTGGGGCTCGGGGGGCCCTGCAGCGCTTCTGAAGCGCTGCCAGGAACGCTTCCACGCGTGTCTGCACGCGTGCAGGAAGCGCCCCCGGACCAGCTGCCGGGTCGGGCGAACTGCTGCGAGGGTCCTGGAGCGGCGGAGATGGGCTGCTGGCGGGCACCACCACCGTCTGGCTTCAAATCTAAAACCCTTTAGCTCTCAGAGAGCTCTGCGGGAACATTGTCCGTCCGGGCTGGGTCGGCGAACTGGCTGCACCCTGCGCCCGAATTCCTCTAGCTCATCGATGCCGACGAGCTCTACGAGGTATCTCTCACTTGGTAGCGTCGAGAACCCGGAGAGCGAAGAGACACTCGGGGACGGGGAATCTTTCCTCTGGAGCTCTGGGGGGCTCTCTGAAGCGCTTCTGAGGCGCTGCCAGGCACGCTTCCACGCGTGCCTGCACGCGTGCAGGCACGCGTGAACGCGTGCCGGAAACGCTCCCGGACCGGCTGCCGGGTCAAACAAGTCGCTGCGGGGATTCTGGAGCCGCGGAGATGGGCTGCTGGCAGGCACCACCACCGTCCGGCTTTTCATCTAAAACCCTCTAGCTCTCAGAGAGCTCTCCGGGAATAATCTTTAAAAAACCGACGCCAGGTTGTCGCATTGTCCGTCCAGGCCGGGTGGGCCAATGGTAGCGTCTAAAACCCGAAGAGCACGCAGGCACTCCGGGAACTGGAAAGCTTCTCTGAAAAGTTCTGGCATCTCTCCTGGGGCGCTTCTGAAACACTGCCGGGCACGCTTCCACGCGTGCCTGCACGCGTGCGGGCACGCGTGGACGCGTGCCCGAAGCGCTCCCGGACCAGCTGCGACCTCGAACAGGCCCCTGCGGGGATTTTGGAGCGGCGAAAATGGGCTGCTGGCAGGCACCACCACCGTCCGGCTTCCAATATTAAACCCTATAGCTCTCAGAGAGCTCTCCGGGAACTTGCTCCACTCCGCGCCGGAATTCCTCTGGCTCATCGATGCCGAAGAGCTCTACGAGGTATTGCTCTTAAGCTTCCAGCCAATTGCTAAGGGCAGCTCTACGAGTTAAGCCCGGAGAGCGAAGAGGGAGCTCCTCTGAAGCGCTGCCACGCACGCTTCGACGCGTGCCTGCGCGCGTGCAAGCACGCGTGGACGCGTGCCGGAGGCGCTCCCGGACGGGCTGCCGGGACCGGCGAGTCGCTGCGACGATCGTGGAGCGGCGGGGGTGGGTTGCTGGCGGGCACCACCACCGTCCGGCTTCCCATCTGGAACCCTATAGCTCTCAGGGAGCCCCCCGGGAATGAAGCTCTGGAGACGCGGGGTACTTTCCAGGGGAGCTTTGAATACTCAGGAAAGCGTTCCTGAAGAGCTCTGGGTAGCTCCCTGAAGTGCTTGGAATACTCAGGAAAGCGTTCCTGAAGAGCTCTGGGTAGCCCCCTGAAGCGCTTCCAAAGCGCTCCCCAGGCGCTGCCAGCGGCGCCTCCACGCGTGTCTGCGCGCGTGCAGGCGCGCGTGAACCTGTGCCCGAAACGCTCCCGGACCCGCTGCGACTTCCGGCGAGCCGCTGCGAAGATCGTGGAGCGGCGGAGGTGGGTTGCCCTCCCCGCCACCCACCTCCGGCTGCTTCTCTGAAGCCCTCAGCTCTCCAAGAAGCTATCTGGGAACTAGGTGCACCCCACGCCGGAATCCCACCAGCCCTTTGGGCGTGAGTGGTTTTGGGAGCTCTCTCTGTTCTCAACCCCCCTTCTTCCCCTTCGGGGAGGGGTTTACCCCTCCCCCTACCCCCCCCCCTGGACCTGGAGAGGGGGTTTCGCGGGTGGTTGGAGGGGTCTTTCTCGACTCCTGGGAGGGCTAAAAAACGACGACCCTCACGAGGATTCTGGCTCCGACGGGGGGAGGGAGATAGGCCGCTTTGGTAATCTTCGAAGCCAAAATCATGATTCACGCTTTGCTGCCCATGCCAAAGTGACGACGATGCTCATTACATTTTGCCGGGGCCAACTGCTTATGACCACTTCAAAAGCTCTGAATCGGGATCGCCTGCTCGGCAGGCGGCACGAGACGCTAGCAGCTCTGCTGCCTCCAAACTGAAGCCCCTAGAGGGATGAAGAGGAAGGAGGAGAAAGGGGACGGACGGTAGGGCCGCTAAAAAACTTGAGCAAATCTGCATACGGAAGCAACTGTCGGCATTCAACGTACCGCTAATCATTCAAGAGCGAGCTCTACACATGATTCACGCTTTACTGCCCATGCCAAAGTGACGACGATGCTCATTACATTTTGCCGGGGCCAACTGCTTATGACCACTTCAAAAGCTCTGAATCGGGATCGCCTGCTCGGCAGGCGGCACGAGACGCTAGCAGCTCTGCTGCCTCCAAACTGAAGCCCCTACCCACCCTCAAAAAGTGCCTTGGCCCGCTGGCTGATCGCTTTCGCCAGCACAGTGCAGAGGGCGGGCGGATACGGGCAGGCGCGGGACGTTCAGAAATTACCTTGGGAGTCCTTACCTCGCAGGGTGATATGTTTTTTCCCGGAGGCATTACAGCGAGCTTGTGTCCCCGAACATGTGAGCAGAACATTATCTAATTCTGGCAAGTTAAAGGTCAGAAAGATCGTGGCTTTCCGCCACAGCACGTTGTACTGGCAGTAATCCACACGATGAAACTTTGCCTTGTATGCATTAGCAAGATCAAGCAATTGCGGCGTCATCCAGAGCCTGGACGAGGCAGGATTTTCAATCAGCACGAAAAGGTTGGCGGCGACCGCCTCCTCGACCAGGCTTAGGATGTTTCTGAAAATTACACTAGCGCTGTCTATCTTCCTCTGATCGGCGGGGGCGAGAGCAGGCAGGCCAAAAAGATGCTGGTCACTACGCAGCGGAGGCGGCCCAAGGCCGTCATTATTTCTGGCCCTCGACCACGTCTTCCAGTCCAGGCCGAAGTGCAGGCCGCACAGTCGACGCTGGCGGATGCGCTGTCGGAAGCCCTCGATCACTGCGGGGACTTCGAGGTCGGCCGCAGCCCCGTCGATGTAGTCCCAGCCCTCGGCAGCAAGCCCGCACTCGGCGACGGCGGCCGCGAGGTGAGCGGACCCGCACATGAGCTCGGCGAAAGGCGGGATCCCTGAGCTGAGGCCGGGCGGCGGCACGAAGCGGCGCGGAGGGCCTTGCTCGGCCTCGCCCAAGGCAGCGTTTCGTGGCCCCATAGGGAGCTACACCGAAGACCCCAATGGGGGTGGGCGCATGCGTCCGCGCCACCAATTTCGGCGCACCCCTCACAAGTTTCGTGGCCCCATAGGAGCTCCACCGAAACCGGTACCCACAATATGGTACTCGCAACTGCGCATGGTTGGGTCCTTCGTCAGGCTGATTTTTTCTGATCTCGGTTTCTTTATGTTTGGTTTCTTCACACTGTGGCTCTTTCCCATGCTTCTTGTTGTTGTTGCTGTTGTTTTTCTACTATTCTGTCACCCTCAACTGCTTCCATCAATGTGAACCCGGGTTTCGCTATCTGCAAGGGCTTGCTTCCGTTGCAAACCTGGACTCATGTGTCTGGGATTCGGGATTCCATACCTACGATGTCGGGGGTTGCACACATGTAGCTGGCCAAGAACGCGCGAAATAAATCTGGATGAGGAATGAACATGTTCAACAAAAACAGCGAACACCCTCCCAATCTGATTCCCTCCCATTCTGGTTTCTTCCTGTTATCACAATCTTTTTTGTTCCTTCCTATTTTTGCTGTGTCCGCTGGTTTCTACCATGTCAGGTTTCTGTTCACCCCCATTCAGGGCTTTCTTTCTGTTTCCAATCCATTTCATTCCATGTCATCGATATTCGTATTCATTTCGGTTTCTTTCCATTTCGTTTTTTCTTTCTTCTTATTCTGGTTTTTATTCATGTTGGCCTATTCCTTTCGGCATGTCCAAGCGCTTCCATCAGTGCGGACGCACATTTCCATATTGGAGGGCCTGGGCTTCCATAGCTGCGATGTTTTCTTGTTTTTTTTGGTTATCAGTGAATGTTGCTCAATAGAACTGCGGACTCAAGTTTCCCTGAGTACGACACTCGTCGAAAGAATTCTTTGGAAGAGACACACAACAACAATGAACTCTCCTCCATTCTGGCGCTTTCCCAATCCCCCCCCTTCGTCTACCGTTTGCTGTTTCCACCGCTGGCCACATTTTCCACCATGTGAGTATCCAGTTCGTTAACCGCCTTTATGTTTTTTTTTGCTGTTCTTATATCAAGGAGATGGGGGCGGACAGCAACGCCCTGCAGATATCCAAGCTTGTCGCGCAAACTGTAAAAACGCATGTTACTTACACACGTGGGCGCTTGTGGCACAGCGTGTAGCAACATATGCTACTTACTCATGTGGGCGCAAAAACTGAATTAACAAGCCTATTTTTGCAGATGCGGGCACATGCTCGACGTATAGATGGTTGTACACCGCGCCCCCAAAGAAACAATGCATTGGAAATTCTCGAATCTCCTCCTCGTGGCGCTCGGACCAATCGGAATTATTGCGAGACCAACAAAACACATTCAGCGTCACACCGACCGGGTTTTTCATGATAAACAACAAAAGAATGTGCACACAATAATTATGGTACTACATCATACATCAAAAACACGCCAAACATTTTCATATTAACTGGTAATCCTTTTTTTATTCGTTTACGTTTTCTGATTTTGTGCCCAATCCGTGGCGACTTCTCCTACGTCATGCAACGTTATTGCGCTTAGGTTGAACCCGCAATGAAAGACCTTTCATTTTCACAACGGGTTTCCTCCGATGATGATATTTTCTGCTCAACGCTTCCGCGCATTGCTGATTAATAGTGCTCAAGAGGGCGTGTCCTTTTAACAATATCGCCTGCCAATGTTACCAATTTTGGAAAACACTATTTGGCACAACTGCCTCTTTGGGGGGATTTTTTTTCTTAAAAATTCCGGGGCCCTCGTCCTTCGATCGGCATCGTGCAGCCCCAGCCGCAACCATGATGCGTTGACAAAAAGTCCATGTATCTGTGAAAATCGCAACGAATATACATCCCTCTCCGACAAATACAACATCTCCCATCCAGCTGGAATAACGCAGTAACGCCGCACCTTTGCCAATCTGCGCGAGCCAAAGCCAATAACACGCAACGGTTTTCAGGGGAAGTATCTTGGAAACCTGGCCCGGCCGACATGGCCGCCGTGGAAGCTCGAACCAAACTCGAGAATAATAAATAAATCAACAATCAAATCATGATTTCTCTGCGTCCATGTCTTCGCCAGAAAGATAGTGGTGACAAATTCACGCTGATGTAACTCCGATCGTGTCTTGTTTTTGGTAAACTAGACCACGTTATGCCGACTTCCGTTCCATTGAAAGCTTCGCCTGCGACTTGGCAACTCTGGAAGAATCGCACGTCTTATTACCAAACATACAAGTTTATCTCAAACAAGGCACTTGGAGATCCTGGACCAGCGCCAGTGAAACCCTCTCGGCTCTCAGAGAACTATCTGAGAATCTCTGCCCGGCGCCTGAAAAAACTCTGGGGCCACCCTGCACTGCCGTCTTTTAATTACGACCTTTTGAATCTGACAAAAACTCTCTGGCGGAGATACTTGTTTTGGGCTGCCCGTTGTCATTAAAAAACCTGCTTTGAATGAACAAACGCGTGTTCCTTATCATGATAATCCCTATCCATCGCTGTGGAAACCCGTACCCTTTGTTATGAGAACTCGTGTTTCTCAACCTAGAAACGCAAACCTGCACTTATGCGAACTAGGTTCCGCTATGATGGCATCCGAAACCCATTGGTATGAAGATCCGTGTTGATTTATATTGAAACCCGTCGTCCTTGATATGGAAGCCCGTGCTCCTTGATATAGAAGCCCGTATTCAATATGCAAGCCCGTGTACAATCATGGAATCCAGCGTCTCCCGTATGAACTGGGCTAATTCGGTCTCTGAAACGACTCGGTGCAATCTCTGAAACAATTTTGCATAATCTCTCATACGGTTGTGTCAACCAATGAACGGTTTAACATAATCTTTGAGACGGGTGTCTAATGTGTGATTTGTGTTCCGGCCAGAAGAGATAACTAATCACCGGGGGTTTGCCTGACGCCTCTGTAAGATGTCATCGGGATACGCCCAGCCAGCGACCGTATCACTGGCCTTTGCAACGCATGGCATTGACCCAACCTGCGCGGCGAATCGCCGAACCCTTGGGGCGTAAACGCATTACAAAAACCAGCCCGCGTTCTGTTACCGGTACCCGCCACGGTCACGTACCAACACGCATTCAATCAACAATCTCCGCACTTGCATGTTGAATGTCCCGATGCGGCTCACATGAATTGCCGTTTCGAGAAACACTTTCTGAACGTCGCAACGCGGCAGAACTGACCCGCTCGCGCGCTCTAATAGCAGGGGTCGCGCGGTGTACAAGTTACTTGGCAGCAAGACAGGGAAGGAGGGAAAGGGCCGCCGCAGAAAGCAGGCTGGGGAGGATGGCGCTCACCGCGGGAAGAATTTCAAGATGAACGGCCGGTGCGGCCATCCTGTGCTCGTTGGCGGCGCGCAGAAATAGTAGGGGGAGAGGGGGGGACTTCTTAGAAAACGGCTGCTTCTTAGAAGGCGCCGGCACATCTACAGACAAGGCCCGCGCCTTCTAAGAAGCAGGGGTGCTTCGAAGAAGCCTTCCCCCCTCCAACTCTCCCCTCCCCGCGCGTGGTCGAGCTGGGGCGACCTGACAGTGGGCGCGGAGCGGCGTCACGACCGCATCCAGGGGCCCAAGCCAAGGCTACTAGCTCTGAAAGCGTAGGGCAAGGCGAATCAGTACGTCAGGAAGAGCAGCACGCGGGCCCGCAGCGACATCAATGGAGCATCCATGTGTCCGTCGCGAAGCCGTAAGCTTCAGACCTTCCTGCAAAGGGACGGCGCCAACAAATTCGAACGACACACGCAACCGACATAATAAAACTGATAGATATCACTTCCGATCGCTGCCCAACATACGGGTGCAAGAAACTGTGGCCATCACGAACTCATGTGGTTGTTTCAAAACTGTCGTCCGTCGTGGTGCCCGACTACATCCTGTCAAATACAAGGAACATCATTCACAACAAATTGTGCATGCGGCCCCAAATCAAACTCTTAGGGCTCTGCGGCGTTAGTCCTACTCCGTGCGAACAATTATGATTGCATAATCGTCCCATCAACTTTTTGCGGTAACCCGCCACACTGGATTTCAGTCAAGCGGGTTGGAAACCAATACGTTCATAAACCACAGGAAAAACTATCGGGAAAGACAACTGGAATCGGTCTACCTACCATCTTGCCATCCGTCGCATGGCAATTCCAACACTAAATAAAACGCGAGTGCGTGGGAAGTAACGTGCGAGGCGGAACACAGATACCGTCGCTTCGTGGCCGAAGCTGCGAAGTTACGTGTGCGTGGAGCGTGAGTCCACGGAGCTGGACCTGGACACCAATCGGTGGTGGCGGCGTGTGGGCCGTGCCCTGCGAAGCCAGGAACAGCTAACAGACACGGACCCCAAAATGCAATGGCGGCGGACACTGAATCAAAGAACGGTGCAATTGCAAATGATGCTGTGAAGCGAAGTCCCGCGCTAAGAGGTGATAGTTAGGGCTGGTAACTTCAGAAACTGGTTCACTCTGGCATGAAATGTTAGCGGTGGTCCAAAATTGTCGCCTTCGCCAAACGGAATCCCGTTGTCGGTATACTTTGAACGGTATATGATATACGCATGCCAGCGCCAATCCATATTCCCCCATGGGCGCCATCGGGTGCTTGCATGGCCTATAATCACTAAGCGCACGCCAAACTCAACACCGGGAAACATCATCATAATATGCAAACTCGCCTGTCGTAATGGTCGACATTGCAGAAGCACGGTCAATTCTTGATATGCTGGGAACGTATCAAGAGCAGACGATCGTTGATTCATTGCCAAACATGATGAAACTGATGTTCACCCAACATGTGAATCAGTATGCGGGACATGGGCTCGATACATCGTGCTGAAAAAGATTTTAAGAAGAACTGGAATACCACTTCGAATCGACGACAAGTTGCCGCG